GCCACACTGAAATGGACGAGATAAGAACACTGCCACACTGAAATGGACGAGATAAGAACACTGCCACACTAAAATGGACGAGATAAGAACACTACCACACCGAAATGGACGAGATAAGAACACTGTCACACTAAAATGGACGAGATAAGAACACTGCCAGACTAAAATGGACGAGATAAGAACACTACCAGACTAAAATGGACGAGATAAGAACACTGCCAGACTAAAATGGACAAGATAAGAACACTGCCGGACTAAAATGGACAAGATAAGAACACTGCCAGACTAAAATGAACAAGATAAGAACACTGCCAGACTAAAATGGACGAGATAAGAACACTGCCACACTGAAACTGCTCGAGATAAAAACACTGCCACACTGAAATGGACGAGATAAAAACACTGCCACATTCTCAATAAAATGAGCTTTACTCGAGCCAATTTTTGTCCTTAGTACGTTCACACAAATTATTCTCCTAGTGTTTGAAGCTTATGTTCTTGGGAATTCTATCCTGTCTTTAAATGTTGCTCTCAACAAAAAGGTGTTGAATTCATCATCATTAAAAACCTAGACGAACGAGGCGGTGGGAGATTGAAATATCAGGAGCATTTGAAGTGGGCAGGTACCAGTTTCACTCTTAATTGAATTTGAGTTCTTCTTATTTTGATAATGGCAGTAATGAAGGGAAATACCTTCGAAAAATTGGAAATATGAATATTCCTAGTAAGAAATGCTTTTATCTTAAAATATTCACGTTTTCGAATGGTTTCTGAATTACTTCTGCGGCCGTTATTTTCAATAATTGTTATGCGTATTTGAGACTCTTCACGAATTTGTTTTGACTTACTACTTATGCGTTGGCGCGAAAGTTAAAACGAGATCAAGAGCTCTTTCTTTGAGGTTTTAGGCCGATATCTCTTAATGTTGCTTCCTCTTTCTCCAGAAAAATTCAGCCGTTTTGTTTGAAGCAGGTTGAAGTAGCTCGAGCGTGTTAATTGCAAAACACAAGATAGCTCTGCTGGAAGGAAAACAAACTACAAATCCAATGGTAAGGACTGCTAAGCCAACTTTATTCATGTTTTCAAAAGCGCAGTCTCACTGTTCGTGTAATGTATCATTGGAAAACAAAGTACTATTCTACTTCTTCTAAACGGGGTATTTTTCTAACTGGAAATTAAATTGACAGCAAACGGAAATTGTTCAAACTTCCTTTGACAGGTTACCGTCAGTTTGGTTCACGCTCTGTCGATCACATTTTCCGGTGTTTAGTTCCTGTTATCTTACACACATGTGATTAACCCTCACCTGTTGGTTTCACATAATACGTTCCCTTTATGGTCCACAACACAGACGAAAGAAGGCAAGCCAGGCAGAAGAGGTGGTAAAATCTTTCCATGCGTCCGGGGGATCCAACAGTCTTACACTCTACAGGTTAGGAAAAACAATATCGCGCAGGTTACACACTACAGGTTAACTCAATCGCGGACCGCCTTCTACTTTTATGCTTACATGTATTGCATTCATTTCCTTATTACGTCATATTTTGTGGATGGATACTTCATCCTCGCACGGTTCATTCAAACTTGGTTTAAGCCTGTGAGAGTGTAGTGCTAATGGAATAAATAGTTGCGAAAAGCTTGTTGTCCAAATTCCCTGTCCTATGTTGTTGATCTTTACTTATGATTTTTCCTCTAGTTACACTTTTTTCCTGCGGGTGTCTGGCGACATAGGTAATGTACTCACCAGTGAGAGCATGGTTAGCCCCGCCCACCCAATTGAACCAAAAATTTTGATCCATCCACCTAATGTTTGACTACTGAAACCAGTGACACTTAGAAGACGAAAACCAATCATATTGCAGAACGAAAACGAAGTACTTTAACTGGAGTGTGGTTTTTGATGATATTTACTGATTGTAACTTTCGACAAAACGCTGGCATTCAAACTCCTAGTCACTTAAATCTACGAAATCCGGACATGAGCACTGGCTTGATGGACCGTTGGGTTCAAACACATTTTTTACCTGTCAGATGGCCTGGTAGAACATAAGACGAAATTAATTCATAGTTAAATCTCTCAAAGATGTGTTTTGAATTACTTCCGAAGAAGAGAGAGGAGGTCACATGCAATTACATCTGCAGTGAGAAATCGGTAGGAGGAGGATTATCATCTAAAGCCAATAAAAGAAACTGTACGGTGATTATCAAAATGTAAACACGATGTTGTTATACTTATATTTGGGTGGGGCACCCCTGCGATGGACTAGCATCCCTTCCAGGAGGAAGAGGAAAAACTCCTTATTGCTTCACGATATAGCAACCGGAGATAGGCGCCGACCTGCCTAGTTTAGTAACTGGGCTCGAACTTAGACTGCATTTTACTCAGTGTTTTGCTCTCCAACATTGATTCTCGGAATGGCATCATATTGAATTGTGATCACCCTGAAATGCATGCACAGCAGTGGAAAGTAAGAAAGGGACATTGTTAACATCTAAATGGGTATCCACAACTTACGGTTGAGGTTTGGACCTTTTTATTACATCCATAGTTATTTTGAGACAAAAAGTAGACTTCGTTGAAATGCAACGATTGCCCTGTTCTTTGCTTAAAATAGAAAAATTATTTATTTCTAATTACGCTACAGTCTTGTCTTTCATTACGCGCGTTTTTTTCGAAGAGAAGCGAGAGCAGCTAGTGTTCATCCCTGGGTGTAATTTCGAGTGTAAATTTCGATTCACTTCCAAACAGAATTCCATTAGGGATTCGAGGATATCCCAGCCATACACTTTCTCCCGCCATCTATCCGACGATTTCAGCTAGGATTCCTTCGCTATCAGACCGCAGTTCGTTTGACCTTCGCGTCCTTCTCGCCAAACCGCCCGTGTCATCCTCCAAATTAGAGACGCCAAGGATCCTTAAGTCTAGAAAGAGAGGATATCTTGGAGTAATTTTGCCGCCGAAATGCACTGACCATCGGGTAGGTGTCCTTTGGAATATAGGAGGCCGCGTGGCCGAGTTGTTAGGGCGTACGAGTTCAAATCCGGAAGTCGCAGGTTCAAGTCCCGCTCTGACCACTAAGCCGGAGTTGTTTCTCGGTAGAACCTAGTTCAACTCAGTTATGCCAGATGGGATTTTTAAGCCTATTTTGTTTAGTTAATATATTTGTTTCTTTCAGTTTAAGCGGCATACCTGTGAACTACCGAAGTGTAGCTAAGCGCATTGACCACTATAAACAACACTTAAACACTTTTTTTAATCGCGCTATCTAAAGACCTTGATAGCTCGCCTCGCAATTCAGAAGGACTCTTAAACATTGCAAATTGATCGCCTTCAGTTAACTACAGTTACAATTTGTAGAGCTCAAATTCCAAAATATAGATAATTCTCTTCGCGGTTCGGAGAAAGCCAACAAACCGCCTAGAGAAAAACCAATGGGTGACCTCAAAGCTCCTCAGATGATCGTGGCTTTGCAAAAATGGCCTCATATCTCTGCTTCAGGTGAGCCAAAGTCACTTGGCGTCGTGATTGCACTCTCATTGTTCCTTTGCCTTCCGGTACAATTATGTAAAACTTCAGTTTACTTCCTCCCCCACTGAATGTTCGCCATTTTTAACTTGTGAATTGCGATAGCAAGTTACAAGTTGTTGATGGCGTGCAGGTTATGCAAATAATATGCAAATGAGGAGTCGGTCACACATCTGTTAAGTTTTTGTGCTATTTCTGCTGACCAGTAAATAAGACGGTAGAAATCAGTGCACAAGTAAATAGTGCGGGCGCATCTTTCGTTTTAGATATTACGTAAGTACGCGTGCTGCACTAAAACTAGAAACCTTTATTGTTTGCTTTTTGGTCAGAGTTCATTGACAGTAAATTAGAAATAACAAACAAAACAAAGCATTAGCTCAATATAAACCAAACACTGTGCTCAATAGTGAAACAGTGGTGAAATTGATGGAAGCTGATATTGAATAGTTCCGAGGCGAAGTTTAAGATCAATTGAAGGCAATCCTTATGTGTCTGCTAATACTGACGGTAGCATAGCATCCATATGGTAGCATCCATACGCTTATTTGTGAACTGCATATGCTCATATTATGTAATTTAAAAACAGAAATAAAAGAGTAGAATAAACTTGCCTGTCTTCGTCTTGTTATCTTTCATTCTGCGCCACGATTGTGTGATGCGATGTATTTTTCCTTGACATGGTTGTCGCGACGTCGCTTCGATCGTTATCACATATACCTGCTAAAAGCCGCTGCTAAAGTCCACTAGGGGAAGTTATTCCTGGAGTACTGTACAGTCAACATCTTGTCCCACTAGCGATCTCTTGTCGCTAGTGGGACAAGAGAGGGAAGGTTACCGAAAACACACACACAGGGCGTCATGCATGTTTAAATTAGATTACATCACTTAGCACTTTTCTGAAGTTTTTGACTCAAAAGTCGAGGTTTATTTTACTTTTTCAATATCAGTCTACGGGACTGCTTATATTGTTAAAACAAGCCACATCATGCCGCAACTGGCCATGGTATCAGACGCAAACTCGGCACATGGCGTCCTTGCTCCCGCGGGGG